TGTAAAGACTTCATTATGTTGTTTAACCATGACTTCATATGTTGATATCTATTGACTGAGTGAGCCATTTTTACAGCTTAGTTTCAAACAGTCTTTTTCACTAAAGAGAACGTTTTGAGTTTTGAAAGTTACACTACTTCTTCTTGGTACAATGAACTCTTTTAACTCGAAAAGATCAAGGGAACTTTGATTCTTCATGATACAACTTAGTAAATGCTGTTTAATGATTTTTGTGTTCAAGAGGCCGTAATCACCGCTTTTGAAACTTACAGTGTGTTTCTCCCACTTTCAGACCCTGTTTGCTACTTTTGTAAGACTTAAAAATATACAAATGGCCTCTGTTATGATTGGCTAACCTCTTTGCATACTAAATAGGTGTTGATCTGTGAATGGTAAAGTGCTCGAGGTTGTAAAATAATGATGCTTTCAGAAAAATCTGATTTTGCAGCTGTTTCCATCAATGGAGTTTTAAATGTTAGCATCATCTGTAGTAAATCAAACACTTTTAATTCAAGAGCAAGGGAAATTATGTTTTGCATGATGTCCTCATTAGGATTAGATAATACATTTGTTACTGAATATTAAGTCTAAATAAAATGTTATGCTAAATAAAGTGCTAGAATCAGCTTATTTTTATAAATTATCTCTAGCTCTAGTGAAGACTACCAAATTAGTGATAATTGTCATTTTTAAATTTCTAAGGAAGCCTGTTTCTTTTCAATTGAACCATTTGTTCTGGTTCTCAGGTTCTCAACTCACAGATCCACCACAATGGTTCTTACTTTTCTTGGGACACACATTGTCATGTGGTAAACTTCTACAGCAATGCCCTTCCAGTCTGGTCGGGTACTGTATAGTGATCTCTCACCCTAAGCTTTCCCTCCTTGATCCTGCACCAGAGTCACCTGCAGTTTCATTAATGGATAGGAGTAGACGCATGCTTGGAATGAAGCCAGAGAGTATGGATGTCCCGTGGAGCCATAATGGAGTTTACTCCCCCATAAAACAGTTTGCCAGCACACTGTCTGCTGTCCCTGTGCTTATTTATAGCTGTGTTTCATTGAGGTGACACTGATGGAGAAGGGCTGTTGACTTTTCCTCACCAGTGAGTCGGTTCAATCAGCCTGTGTGAGGCGCAGAGGGAATGTGGCGCTACTGACGGCGTGAACACGCTCTGGCTCTGTCACCCAGTAAACGAGCTCTGGACCTCAATGCCAGTAGCCAAATTCTCCATCATTCCCCATGTCTGCATGGCTGCAAGAGAGATAAGTCAGAGAGAAATACATTTATTTGGTGGAAGTTTATAGAAGTGCAATTTTCTCACGAGGTCGACACGTTTTAATTTGACACGATTTGCGAGGAAATCATTTTCTGATTCACTGTGAATGTGGATGGTTGATGATATTTTAATGGGAATAACAGTTTCTTAGTGACACTTTTGACAGCCTGTGTGAGATTGACCCAATTGTACTTGTCATACTTAAAAATAGTTTTGCATAAATAAAACAAAGCTTATATTAAAGGCCATTTTGGCATTGTGACATTTTCAAGAAAGAAAAAAAAAAAAGAAGCGAAGAAGAAGTTGTCTCGTATGCTTACCAAGTTTGCATTTATTTGATCAAAAAAAGAGTAAAAACAGTAAAACTGTTAAATAATATAACAATTTAAACATTTTCTACTTAAATATATTTTAAATTGTAATTTATTCCTGTGATGCAAAGCTGAATTTTCAGCATCATTATTCCAGTCTTCGTCACATGATCCTTCAGAAATCGTTCTAATATGCTGATTTGCTGCTCAAGAAAATTTCTTCTTCATCTTATTATTATTAATGCTGAAAACAGCTGTGCTTAATATTTTTGTGGAAACTCAGATACATTTTCGTAAGGATTCTTTGATGAACAGAAAGTTCAAATCAAATTTGTAACAATAAATGTCTTTACTGTTGCATCCTTGCTGAATAAAAGTATTAATTACATTTTATTGAACCCTGTAAATAGAAAAAGATGAAATGGAGACTAATTCGTAGCAGACATTGGTAGTGGACTAACATTTTTTTTTTTTTGTGGAAACTGATACATTTTCAGGAAACAGTGTAGATGCTTCATTCATCCCTGTGTGTGTGTATACATATATTCTTATGTGTGTGTGTGTTTGTGCTTACATATGTTGTTTACAACAAGTGCTAATTAGACTAAAATAAGAGTGTTAAAAAGTGTTAAATGTGTTAAAATGCTGTAGGTGTATTGTTATTTCTGCAGGAAGTTTAAAAAAAGTGTCATTCTCCTACTCTAGAAGTACTACTGTATATTAAGATGTGTTGTGTTTCAGTAGTTGTTGTGGTATTTTTTAATTTGCTATTTTATTATATGAAGTCAATAAACAGGCTCTAAATGATGACTGGACAAGATAATTGAATGTATGTATTTTTCATTCTTCACTGTCAGTGTCCTTGAAAATTGAGTGTTGTTTCTTCCTTCAAACTTTGATTAAAGCTGCAACAAAATGTATCATTGCGGTTTTCTTTCAGGTTAGTAATGAGCCTATATTAACAGTTGACCCCAAAATTTAATTACCATCACTATTTACTCACCCTCATTTTGCTGTAATTTTTGTGAGCCCTAGTACATGTTAATTAAATATTCAGCCTTTTTTTGTCTTATTGTCTCTGGTGTTAAAATAATAAGGGTGCTGTCTTTGTTGTTGGTTATTTGAGCTTTGTTGTTGTGTTTGCAAGCAATACAGCTGAAAACAGGCCACAACATTAAACCAAAGTGCTTCATCAATGTCCTTTCCAAAATCAGTATGACGATGGCAATCCAAACAAGAAAAGTCACTCAAAGTCTGATATGCAAAAGAGTGATCATGTTTTAAATTTGATGCCTGAGAAATAGTTTGTGTTAATGTAACAAACGTGTGCACTGTAACAAATATTTATCATCAACATTTAATTAGTCACATCAAATTCTAATTTTGTCTGAAACATCTAGGAACACAAATGAAATTGAACATTAAGTCTGCATTTCTTCTGGCGTGTCAAAGTTAATGAAGGAACTGTTAGTGTTTTCTGTGGCCTGGAAGATTGTGTGACTGTTTGCTAGAGTCGTTTATTACATGTATAATCAGAAATTAGTTTATTTGAAAATCACTTTTTTATTTACTCTTCCACAATACGACACAATATTGTAAATAAAATGTTTGCAGATTGATAGCTCTTAACTGAGGTATTACAGTAAAAATGACAAAAATAATTTAAAATGAAATAAAAAATAATAATTTAACACTGAAAAATGTCAACATGAAAACATACATACTTGCTACATGGTAACAAAAACAAGGCTCAACAACAAGGATGATGGCCTGGGGTCAGAGTTGGAAAGTTTCATAAAGGTCACTTTCCTTTTTGGGTCGATGCTCTGCTGTCACCACTTCACATCCAAAAATCATGTGTTTTCATACATTTGAAATATCTTGGATGTTTTGAACATTATTGTTCATTCAGTATAGCCAGTGCTATCTCTCTTGCTAAAATAAGTGATTTGCTGAAACTGATAAAGACTTTGCAATGTTCTTAGATGCATCTTCTAAATACTGAAAATTATGACCAGATATTTTCATGTTATGCCATTTACATCACTGAATAAAATAAATAAATACATACATGCATAAAAAATAAAAAAGGTAATTGCGACTTTTTATCGCAATTTGGACTTTATTCATAAATGCAAGCTATAATCTAAGAATTGCGAGACGTAAACGGAGAATTCTGTTCTTTTTTTGTTTGTTTTTTTCTTGCGGGTTCAAGTTTGCATTTTGCAGTTTCTAAGTTTACATCAAATTCTTTTTTTTTTCCACCTGCCACAAAATAAAAAATAATAATTATGACTTATCTCACAATTCCTATTTCTTTCTTGCAATTGCAAGTTAACATCTTGCAATTCTGCCTTTTTTTTCTCAGAATTGTTAGTTTATATCTTGCACTTTTGACCTTTTTTATATCTCACAATTTATCTTAAATTTAGAATTCTGACTTGAATTTAATATTTAGAAGATATAAAAGTAATAGATAAAAAGGTCACATCTTATTTTGCAAGTAAAATCATTGTTAATGGTTTTATATTTAAGATCAATGCAGTGAAATAACTGGAAACTTTTGGGGAAAACTATATTGTTGAGCCCTGTATATGTTTTTTTTTTTTTTGGTGTGTATAAAAGCTGACAGAAAAATGTAAAATTGCATTTCAACCATAATAAATTAAATAAAATAATTTATTTATTCATACTTACAAATAGCTACATTAATTGAATGCAGCCAAACACATCTAAACAGTCCTTTCAATTAAATTTCTCATTTACTGTAAACATAATCCACTTGCTCTGATTTAAAGATATAGTTCACCCAAAAATGAAAATTTGCTGAAAATGTATTCACCCTCAGGCCATCCAACATGTAGATGAGTTTCATCAAAACAGATTTGGAGAAATTGAGCATTACTAGTGGATTATTGTGATGTTTTATCAGCTGATTGAGCTCTCATTCTGACGGCACCCATTCACTGCAGAGGACCCATTGTTTGGATGAAGAAACTAATCTACGGTACATCTGGGATGGCCTGTGGGTTAGTACATTTTCAGCAAATTTTCATTTTGGGTGAAGTATTACAACACTTCACAGAACTGTACATGGATTTTCAGTAAAAATTATCACTTGAATTTGTTACGATATCATGACAAATGTAATTACAACAAACCTTTAGACAGCATTTGAAAATTCTATTGACACACAACACTACTTACCGATTCTCACAGATGCTGTGGAGAATATGTCACAGTCTAACAAAAAGGTTTCACTTCTACGGTCACTTTTAGCACAGTGCCAGGTAAGTCAACACTTATGTACAATTAATATAAAAATCATTTTCCGCCTGTGTGCACAGGTCAATGGCTTTAGATACTTCCAGCGAGTCAAACTCTATATTCGTTTTCAGCGTTGTGATTTAGGAACCTCGTAATACTCAAACCGGAGATTAAGAGCTTCAGTATGAAACAGATTCAGATATACAGAGTTCATTCTCAAACTGCTGCTTAGACTCAGCTGGTTCTGCCTTTGTTCGGTTTGTTCGCAAGTCAGTCATTGAAAAGCAAACTGCCCTTGTGGCTTGGTCAGACATATGGGCAGATGGTATCACAGTATACACTGTGATAAACAGTCACAGGAAATCAGTTGACAGTAATGTGAATAGTTTGCGGCCCTGTCCGCAAACACTCATCTCATCTTCCTCAGACGAATTCTGTTCTCCTTGTCCCGCTTCTTTAACGTGCTGATGAACTGGGTGAAAAATAACTCCTGGTCTTTCCTCTTCAGAACCTCTTTGAATCGTGGATCTTTTCCGTACTTTTCTGAAAATTCTTTGAACGTCGACCTACGAAAAAGAGAACATCAGAATGAGATCCTTGACAGTCATCCGATATTTTACATCATCAGTGTGATGGTCCACTATTGTTCAGCTGTAAGAGGTCTGATTGCGGTTGTTTTCATGGCTAGACTTTGAAAGCCTTCTCTATAGAGGAGATCCAGCTGGTCTTCAGTCTGAAGTACAGGTGAAAACACCCTGCCCAGGTGAACCTGCCCAGAGCACTAAAGCAGCAAAGCACAATATCACAGAGAAACGTCTCTCATTTTGATGCATTTGTTATCTCCTGAAATCTTAACTAAAATATCTTTTCTTGGGGATTGCAAGCTGGTTGCTAGAATGTTGCTATGATTTTTCCAGGGTGTTCTAAGCACATAGCTTTGGTGTTCTGGCTGGTTGTCAGGGATTTGCAAGGGTGTTCTGAGAGGTTGTTTACTAGGGCAAGTCAAGTTGCTAGTGTTAGGGTTAAGGATAATGCAAGTTTAATATTAGCGTTAGGGGTTTTCAAAAACCTGACTAGAAAAAATATCACTCAAGTTTTGTTTCCTTGTGAGAACTTGCAATGAGAGCATGCTAACCCTTACCAAAAAGAAGTATACTTTAAGTTTATTTTATTAAGTATACTTAAGTAAAGTTCAAGAATATTTTAAGTATACTTTATGTAGTAAGTATACAAATATCAGTGTACTGGTAGTATACTTGTAATTGTACTATTTCAATACTCCTTGGGACTAAATTGGCCCACTTTCTAGTATATACGTACACTTTTAAGTATACATTAAGTATAACAGTAGCAAACTTTGAGTACACAACTAGTTTACCTCTATGTTTTTAGTTTGTACTGCAACTATACTAAAAGTGAACTTATAAGTAACTGATAGTTTACTAATTAAATAATTGTAGCATTTTTAGTACACGTTGGTAGATTAGTTGTTTGTAGTTGATTAGTTGTAGATTTGAATAGTCTCTGTAAACTACTACTTTAGTAGTTTTATACTGCAAGCACATTTCTGAGAAGTACATAAAAAGTAGACTGAAAGTATACTTTCATATTTTTAGTTTCACATTTATTCAAGCACACTTGAATACACTTCTAAAGGGAATGTAGCGGAGGCCAATTAGTAAAAGCTGTGCTGGTGAACCTTACTCCCCTGATCTCAAGAGGTACACTAGTGACTGACATTAGAGGCTGCGTTCTTTAGTGTCCTTGTTAGATCTCAAGAGGCGCACTAGCAACTGATGCTAGAGGATGCGGTCTCTAATGTCCTTGTTAGTGCGCCTGCCTCCCATGCTGGAAATGCAGGTCCGAGTCCCGCTCGGAGCGAACGGGTGGGTTACACTGGTGCCGTGACCCGGATATAAAGGGGTGAGTATATGAAGGCCAGCTAGTAAGAGCTGTGCAGGTAAACTTCACCCCCTGATCTCACGAGGCACACTAGTGACTGATGCTAGAGGCTATGGTCTTTAGTGTCCTTGTTAGCACGTCCACCTCTCATGCCGAAAAAACGCAAGTTGGAGTCCAGCTCAGACCAAATGGGTGGGTTACATTGGTGTTGTGGCCCAGATATAAAGGCGTGAGTATAACGAAGGCCAGCTAGTAAGATCTGTGCAGGTAAACTTTATCCCCTGATCTCACGAGGCGCACTAGCAACTGATACTATAGGCTGTTAATATTAGTGTATCAATTCACGTCTCTTCAGTTCCTTTCACTATAAATTAATCGGGTAAAGAACAAAGAGGAAACTTCAAGCTGAGTGTTAATCCATGTGGCATGTTTGAATTCACTTCTGTGCAAGACCTTTAACAAGAAACAAGGTTATCTTCAAATACACAAACACAAAGAAACCAGGACCCAAACTGCAAAGACCATCAGTTATTAACACCTTTGCTGAATAAATATTCCACTCTAGAGATGGATTGTATTAATGCATCAGCAAAAGCAGTCACACTTATTTCATAAGCTCACCTGGATGTGATTTTTGATTCCTCTAGCAGTTTTCTGTACTCTTCTTTCGCTTGCTGGAGTTTGCACTTTTTCTCTTTGTGCTCCTCATTCATTCTTGCTTTGACAAACTGATCATAAATCTAAGGGGGAAAAATAAATAAAATAAAATAAAATAAAAATAAATTATTATATTATAAAAAATAATATTTATAATATAAATTATTTAATAACATTTTAAAATAAATGTTTAAGATATTTTTAAATTGTAATATTTATTCCAAATATATAAAAAATAAAAAAGATATATTTAATATATAATTCATTTTGATGAATAAATCATCCTCAATGATGTGTTATAGACCAATTTCAGTGTTTGCAAACAGTGATGACGTTTTTTGTAGGCGGCACCTATCTGGTGGCAGAAAATGCCAGTTTTAACGTAGCAGTCTATGCAAGCCATGGAATAAAATAATAAAAAAGGTAATTGAGTTTATATTTAAAAATTCTGACTTTTTTCTTTAAATTCTGAGATTATATCTCACAATTCTGGTAAGAAAAATCAACTCGTCATTCTCTATTTTTCCCTCGGCCCAGAATCATGAGTTTATAATCCCACACTTCTGGCTTTTTTTCCTCAGAATTGACAAACTCACAATTGTTGAGTTTAATTCAGTTATAAAGTTCGAACTAGGAGATAAACTTGCATTTGCAAGAAAAAAAAAAGTCAGAATTGTGAGAGAAAATAGGTAAATGTTACGTAAAATGTTATAGGTTTAAATAGTATTTCATGCTTTAACTGTAGGGCTAATACAATATGTATCCAATGTGAATATTATATATACCTATTTTTCAAATCTAATGTATGCTTTAAATAGGGTAATCATAGGAGGTTTCATCCAGTCTGTCCGTTTAAACGTCTGCGTTTAGCTTCAAATGGCGTCTTTGACAACATTATTATATAAAAAATATTTGCATTCCGATTCTGACATCCAAAGGCACAACAATAAATTGTTTCTCTTACTCCATGGATTTTACCCGTTTCCCTCCATTTGTTACCAGTGTTTTTCTGCCACCACAATGCGCGCGCAGCTGCAAGTGACGTAACTCCAAATTGGTCTATACAGTACACAGTTACCTTGATGGAAGACATTTGGGGCCAGTTTTACTAAGGAGGGCAAATTAGCGCGAGAGCGCAATTCCAAATCCATGTTGATGGGTGTGGAAATTTCTGCGGGTGATTTACTAACAACGCGCAAATTAAAGAAAATAGACGCAACATCTCATTTACATATCAACTAACACAATATACCAAGCGCAGCACAAATTAGAGTAGTCGCAAATAAAGAATAAAGAAATAAAGAAGCCACAGTATGTTGAAAAGAACCGGTGGACAAAAAATGAAGGTTTGCTTGAAGCTTTGATAGACCTGGTATTGCGTGACTTCTATTTGAGGGTTCCAAGTCGTCTTTTATTTCCTGAAGCAAATTAAAAATAACATGTCTTGGCAAACGATATGTTCGGATAATGTGTTCTTCTGGCATTCAAAATAAATTAATACGTGTGGAAAAATCCTCTCCCTTCTACCACGCACACACTGTTCTCTGCAGTGACTCCTCCTAGCAACAATAATTGCAGCCATTTCAAGCGCAAAATAGTTTAAAGTTGGGGTAAGCGATTTTTCAAAAACGCTTTAGAAAACTGATTCGGACCGACTAGCAAAACAAACTTGTAGCCAATCAGCAGTAAGAGGCGTGTCTACTCATGATGTGGAGGAGAGAGCATTCAGTGCACAGCACAGGACGGACATTAGCCGAGCCGAGCGACAGAAAGATAGAGATGGTGGATAAAAAACAAAAGAGGAAAACGTCTGCGGAACAAAAGAAGGCTAAATAAAAGGTAAGGCTAAAAAGAAGGTAAATATCGGATCAGTTTTTCAGCGCTGGAGAGAACTCAAGGAGCGGAAGGCCTGCGATCGGACGCCGAGGTTGCTTTGCTTCTTCTCGATAGGTGAGTAACACCGTGTCTGTGCCGCAACAGCTAAAGTCTGTCTAGTACACTGGTACTGCAAAGCGACTGTTGAAAATCATTTGAAATTTGTGTTAATACATCATGAATAGAACGCAGCAGCAGTTTTCTGTCGGGGATTTGTCATGTCGTGCCGCGCCGCATCCAGTGTAGACCATAGATATGTATATGTATATCTATGGTGTAGACAGCATCACTGATTATAATGAGCTCCATAGTATTTTGTTTTGCGTCTGAAAAGGAAACTCCTACAAATGCATATTCAATAAGGTAAGGCGCAAAAATAACTGTGTCCATGCCTTTTCAGCGCTAATTCATCACTGCGCGTCTTTAGTAAAACCTGACAGTACAATTTTAATGCCAAAAGACGGTTTGCGCTGGCGCAAGCTGTTAGTAAAACTGGCCCTTGGTCTTACCACCATCTACTAGTACTTTCAAAACCACAGTAGGTCTGTGGAAATGTAGAGGTAATGAAGTTTGAAGTTTTATTAATGTTTGAGGTTGATTGAGACTGATGTGAAACCTTTGTGTCGTACCTGCTTTCGTTCCTCCGGACTTAGCAGCAGGTACCGTGGATCAAATACAATTTTGTGCAGCTCTTTCTCCCAGGTGGAGAACGCAGACACCTGTTCAAAACACACAGGATGAACGATGCTCATCCAGAACAAACGCATTTCAATTACGCCACTTAATTTTAAGATTCAGTGTGTGCAAATATACACTGTCTGTACGATTTTTGTGGGCCAAATAATGGCAGAATTTAAATTTTTGGGTGAACAACTGCATTAACTTATATCTCATTTATTTCTTTAAGGCTGAAGTTTCATTATTATCACTGGATTTCTCACCCCTCTTTCCAGAAGCATGTCTCTGAAGTGGTTGATCCGGAGCTCCAGCGGTAAAACCATCCGAAGAGATGATCCGTTTTTTCCTTCACACACAACAGGATGGTCCAGTCTTCAAAGGAATAGAAATACAACAGCTCTAATGTGTAATTATGTTAATATTTTGTCTAATATAGTGGGAAAAAAACTGGTGTAGAAACAATTTTCACTAATTAAAAATGTTAAAAGTGCATTAAGAGATTTTTGAGAGACACTGTTGATATTTGAAATCACCAAAAACAAACACACTCCTATCCAAAAGGATCACACCCCTATGTTGATAGCTCCGCCCCCAAATTCATGAACATGGTATGCAACATAGGCATCATGAGTGGACACGCCCCTTCCTGCTGATTGGTTAGAAGTGTTTTGGTGCTCTTTCCAGTCCACTTTCAACAGCATTTCTCAGAAATCGCTTACTGCACCTACAAAGAAATGGCAAGTTCTAATTCTTTAATTTTTAATTCTTCCCAAATTATTATAACATGTACGCTTGGCTGATTAACAGAACTGTTTACCAAAGACTTGTCAGTGGATGACTCTTTCATTCAAATATCTTCAAATGTTATGGAGTAAATATTGTGTAAATTAAATATTCATGTCATTTCAGCAATTCTGACTGTGCCTCTTTTGCTATCATTATTTTTTATCACAAACTGCAAAGTTTGGACACACTTTGTTTCTCTTGATCTTCAAAACAGTTTGATCTAAAGGCTCATGATTAAATGCTTGAAGTTTTGAATACAAACATAAATCGTGACTATGATTTTTTTTTTCTTATTTTAAAACTGAATTTTTAATTACTTTTTTCATTGGGCATTAAAAAAAAAAAAAACATAACAGCCAACCAGTATTAACCACAAAAAGAAAAAAACAAATCCAAACTGTCGGAAATTAAATAAGCAACATAAACAAAATCTCTCCAAATTTTTCTTGAAATGTAAAGTGTTTCCTTGTCTCTACACAGACATTTGGGCATACTTCAAACATCCAACTGTTCAATTTAAATCATCTCCAAGAGAGACAGATTGAGAAATTTGCATCAAGCTGTGAGTGCAGATGTTGCCCACCAAAAACCGGAGACTTCCTGTTGTGCTGCAATTATTAAGGTGAGTGACATACAACACATCTGATACAAGATCCTCCTCATCAATTAAAACAGACTCAGATCTGCTGTCATATTTTGCATGGCTCGACCCTACTTACTTGTAGCGCTTGGTCTTTGAACTATGTTCCTCTTCATCGTCATCATCAGCATCAACATTAGAGCCATCGTCTGTTGATGGAACAAAACATGCTGTAGATCAGTATATCCTATGTACTTGGATTTAACAATGTAAACAAATCATCAAAATAATTGAGTGATAAATTAGTAAAAATATGCAACAAGTTTGTGAAGTTTTATTTATGCAGAAAACTCCAGCTGATCTGTATTGATATACAGTGGGTACGGAAAGTATTCAGACCCCCTTCAATTTTTCACTCTTTGTTATATTGCAGCCACTTGCTAAAATCATTTAAGTTAATTTTTTTTCCTCATTAATGTACACACAGCACCCCATAAAAAATTGAAGGGGGTCTGAATACTTTCCGTACCCACTGTACCTGGCTCATGCCAGGTTATTAATCCGAGAAGTACAATAAGAACAAATTTACTTGAACGGACGTATTTAAATTATAGACGCTGAATAGATTAAGATCATCAATAGATAATCTCCACGAAACAGCAATAAAACTAAATCAATAAAGATGAAAAGCCTACTGGGAAATCAAGCCAACCGTATAATAACTTCGAGACAAGATCCAGACTAATTCAATATTTGCAGAGCCACTTCATTGGATTACTGCTTTTAGTTAATCCATGAGAACATCAGTTCTGCAGTTGGTGGGTGTATTAAAACTTTTGCTTGAGCATCATCACACTGTGAGGATTAAACTTTCAGTCAACTTCATCCATTTTTACAGACTCTGCTCCTGTATTTCATATCATAAAGTCGTGAGTTACACTCCACTGATTCAGCAACTTAATCTGAACATAAATGAGTCTTACCTTGAGGCTACAGTAGGGCTTGCCAACCTGATCTCATTAGTATTATGCTACTGTTCAAAAGTTTGGGGTCAGTACTTTTTTTTGTCTTTTTTTTTTTTAATGAATACTTTTATTCAGCAGGGATGCATAAAAGTGATCAAAAGTGACAGTAAAGACATTTTAAATGCTGTTCTCTATTCATCAAATAATCCTGAAAATAATTATTTCCACAAAAATGTTAAGCAGCACAACTGTTTTCAACATTACTAATAAATAATAAATGTTTCTTGAGCAGCAAAGCAGCATATTAGAATGATTTCTGAAAACTATTCATCCTAAATGGCTTCTAAAATTGTCCCAAATCGTATGGTATGTTTAAAAGAGTGTGTTAAATATGCCTGAATGGTCTATTTTTTCCAGCCAAAATCTGACCTAAAGAGTCTTTCTTGCGTTTATGTGGCGGGTCCTCGATGATTCGATTGAGGTCTCCGCGGTCTTTCAGATCAATTGGTTTCTCCCATACTGACAAATGCATGGTGGGATTGAAGAAAAACACCCTGTCGTCACCTGTCCACACTACACACCTACAGAAGAGAAAGAGAGATGCATTTATACATTCGTATACACACAGAAACACAATCCAACAGGCTGCTTGTGGTATTCTCACTACGTGCCTAAGAAATCCGGATGACGAAAAACAGTCCCAGCAGCACCAACGTGACCCAGAGAGAGGATTCTGAGTCACAAACGACAGCTGAGAACGACTAAGACCAAATGGGCTGAATTTGATGTATTTTTGTCTTCACTTGCTATTTTTCCGTAATCAGTCTTCAGCAGGTTCACAAGATTTTCAAATGGATAAATCCACAATATGTCCAGCATCGAGTATCTACAAGCCTATTATACATTTAAGTTTTATGTCACAAATCCAAAAGCGACCAATTTTTCAGATGTTCTGCACTAGATATTCTTACCTTACAGTGATAATTTGAGACCCATTTCAGGCTTCATTCAGGGCATGTCGGATAAAGTATTCATGGATTCTGCAGTAGTCTGTGAGGTAATTTGATACAACCTCATGCCAACCATGACAAACCAATCCTGACATTTCATTTTGCAACCCCATCGCATCAGGGAGATCGGCAGTGCCTTCCTGTACCATAAAACTGACCCAATGATATTAAAAAATCTTTGAAACTGAGCATCTGCTCTGCTCATATGCAGTTATTCATAGTGCAAACATATGGTTAGCACTAGACACGTGTTTCATTTGTCTTTCCATTAATATTGCAGGGATTTAAATCATTTCTATGCAACCTCCATATAAAACAATAACTATAAAATTCAATTTTGTAGCAAGAGCTCTACCCAAAGGACTATTTTATTGCTCAGAGGTTGTTCTTTTATGGCTTAGAAGACGCAAAGTATTGTTTTTTTTTTGTTTTTTTTGTTCCATGCTAAAATACTTTCTTATGCCTTTCTTTCATCCCAGCTTACTATGCAGAACAACTATAAGCTATTCTTACGGCAGATGCCCTGAAAAATGCAAAACACTAGCATAGTCCAATTCACAAGCAAATGACTCCTATGAACTTGTACTTTTTAAATGAACCAAAAACATACAGAACAACCAGCGTAATCTAATTCATAAGACAATGACTCGTATGTTCATCATACTGAATCAAAAACATACATCAACGTAACCAGTGTAGTTTGATTTGTGATGACTCTTATGAACTGGTACTTTTTAGGGAATAAATATGTATAGCACAGCCTGTGCAGAACGACTCATGATCGAAACATACAGCACGTGCATGTGTAATCTCGTTCATGAGCAAACAACTCTTATGAACTGATTCTTTAAAGTGAATCAAAAACATACAGCACCACCACCAGTGTAGTCTTGTTCATGAAAAAATGGCTCTTATATTATTGGACTTATTTTATTGGCAAATAGCTGTTATTTTATTTCTAAAACTGATATAACTAATATTCCAAGGTTTCCCATGCAATTTACAGAATTAGCTAAGTAAAGAAAATAGACATTTATAAATGAACTGTATGCCCAAATGAATCAGAATTGAAAAAATAATCTGAACGTTTGAACCAAATGATCTGTCCTGATATAGTTTGAGACATTATTGAGGTCTCTTCTTGAACTATAGATAAAAGAAATATCAGACAAGTTGAAGACTTAAGCAATAATCTCAGTTTGTCCTCCATTCAATCTCATTTTTGACACATTTGAGACACTAAAGAGATCTCATTTGAGCTTTCCTTTGGGTTACATTCTAAAATGGGTTTTTAACGCAGGAATCTAACCAACATCCATATCTGGATAATCGCACAACAACTCCAGTTCTGGTGTCATCAACCACATGTTAAATGTATTTAACAGTGAAGCCAGTTTGTGTGAGTCAACAAAAGCTGAACGCGATAAGCCATGACACCTCATGGGCTTCAAAAATGTGTGTGTGAGTGTTTGTTTGCAGTGAAGGAAAGCCCACACTGCTTTAGCAGAGAGAAATGGAAGTCTTGCATAACACGTCGTCCTAATGCAGGTTTTCGATTGGGTGTCAGTGCATCTGTTTAGCACTGGAGGTTTGCCATGTGCACTGCTGTATTTTATTCAAGCATGTATTACTGTCATCAAGCAATTATAAAGCGGCATGCATCATTTAAATGGTGATAAAGCTGCTGACATTTATGACAGAATGAGAGGAGATAAAACAAACATCTTTGTCACTATAGAAGAACAAATCGGCTATTAAAGCATTCCAAAACACAGGAGAAAACAGTGCACTTACAACAGTGGCATTTGAAAGTGTAGGTTGACACAGAGACAACTGCGAGAACACGATCGATTGGTCATTATCTTGCATGCAGAGTCATTTATTAGCAATAAAGATGCATCAGATTGATGGCGAGCCATACAATCATATCTGCGCAGACAAAACGGGTAGTTACCATGGTGATCC